GACAATAGAAATGTACATCTGACCCATTTTAGCAAAATTTAAAAAGGAGCTCTCCCTTGTCAGAATACCAGGCTTTGTATTTACATAAGGGCCTTCCTTCCTTCCTTCCTTCCTTCCTTCCTTCCTTCCTTCCTTCCTTCTTTCTTTCCTTCCTTCCCTCAATATATCACTTCCATTTTATTTTATTTATTTTATTTTATTTTATTATTTTATTTTTATTTTATTTTATTATTTTATTTTATTTTATTTTATTTTATTTTATTTTATTTTATTTTATTTTATTTTATTATTTCTGTGTATTAGGGATTTCTATTTTCTCATTATTGCATGATAGGTACCAGCAACTACATGATTAGGACCCCAGCAGGAAACACTCAAATTAAGATAATTCAAGTGGAGTTAAATAAAGAGACTATTTAGAGACTTGTGCAGTAATCCAGTGGCTGGAAACAGCAGGAGGCTTTGCCACTCCAGGACTAAGGGGGTACAGGCGGGAGAATTACCCAAACTGAAGGCAGAGAGGCAGCATGCGAAGGGCTGCCCTGTGGAATCTGAGGCCTTTTCATCTATGGGTCCAGTTAACCTGTCGAACCCTGGAGGGAGGAAGCTGGAGGCATAAATAATCCACCACTTACTCTGATCCTCTGGTGCTTCTGCTCAGGGAAACCCAACAAGAAGCCAGAGATCAGTGCATCACACTGATGCAAACCATTTAGGTAACCCACTGGGGCACAGAGCAAAGCGGAGAAGATGGAGGGGAAGTGAAAATTATTCAGCACAGAGGCGATTTATCAGAGAGTCACTCACAAGCCTGTACAAAACCTGGTCGCTTAAGAGGCAACTGTGGCCATCTGTTCGGGTGAAGCTTGAATGCTTCCTCAAAATGGCTAACTTCTGGCCCTCCCTTGACCTCCCTCCCCCAGTGTTTGGTAAGCAAGCTGGACTTTGGTCTCATGACCTAGTATTGCCACTTTGAATACCTTTTTAAGTAGGCAAGACCTAGAAGAATGGCCAGTAAGTACTACTTGTTAAAGAAACAAGTGGGTGTAATTAGTTTTGCCCTGTGTTGACTCATCTGCTCAACCTGTCACTCTGGTTTGGTCAGCACTTTTGATTCCCATAGCCCGGGTTCTTCAATGGTTGATGGCTCTCACTGCCTTCTGTGGGTTATATGTTTTTATTCCCACCCTATCTATCCTGACTGGGTGAGAAGAAATAACTTCTGGACGGACACACCTGAGAAGACCTAAGTCCTAGAAAGAGTAACTTTTTTACCTTTTTTGGGTATTCTTTTAAGAATTTTTACACCCTCCCCCAGATTCTCCCTTTTGGAAGCATATTTTCAATGTAGCTATTATGTTCATGAGTCTTTATGTGGCAGATGGTGTTGCTCATGTTTAACTCTTTCCTACACGTTTGAGACCATTTTAGTACATATTATTTTCTAGCTCTGGAGAGGAACTCCTTTCTGAACTTTTAAAGTTGAACAAATGTCAAAATATCTCTTAAGAAATGAGAGACTAGGATATAAATTGTAATATATAAGCCTCACATATTTTCATACTGAATTTTTAGTTCTAATGTACTAGATGAAAGGCTGACTTGGTGGATCGGTTCATTGACTGAGCTAATAAGGGACATTATTCCCAAATTCCTTTTATCTCCTTGTCTTACATAAAATCAATATCAATGATATAAGGTTTGCTTACTTTCTTGTGTTAATATTTTACCTGCAATGGTATCCAATATTCCTGCAAACATTTTCAATCTTAAAAAAACCCAATTTCAAAAATAAGTTTGAAAAAAACTTTCTAAAAATTCAACTTAAATCTCATGAATTATTTCAATGATGACATATTGATTTGGTGAAAGTAGAGGTTTTGCTTTTCTTCTCCCTCAATTAAGAGATTTAATCATCTTGAAGCAAATGTTTGTAGTTATGAGATCTAATATGAAATTATACACATGCTAATGTTTAGATTATTCATGTTACTTTTCTTAACACTTAGTTGCTGGTGTTCAGGAAAATATTTTCCAATGGAAATCATGTTATCTGACAAAATAGAAATCATCCATATATGATTTTTTCCTTTTAATTATATAATTAGGTTCTAATCATTGTAAGATTTAGTGTATATATTCTAATAATTTTGTTAAGATTCTCTTCTATTAGACAAATCATTTGTCTATGATAAGGAGAGTACTAAGATTACGTGAAGTCTTGGCATTCCTGAGCATGCAATCCATGTGATATTTCTGAGTGTTTCAGGGGTTTTTATAGCACTCTGAAGTCTACTTATAGAACTCAGGTTACCCACCTTTGATTTAGAAAAATCAGGTTGTTTCTTGGTTAGGGAAAGCTCAAACGAAATAAAATCAACAGTGAACACTTATCCAGTGAAATTAGATTGTGTGGGCAGTCAATCTAGGTTAAGATTGGGTGGGAAAAGATTTTTTACAGTATTAAAATGGCAATATATACACAACCTGTTATTATTTTCAACAAATAATAGCTGAATCCATTATTTGTTGAATGAATGAATTGATTCATGTGGGGTGCTATGTACACTTCAAGAAACCCCCCATAAATATTCATAATTTCAAAGTATACACAGTTGTGCATCCCTCCGTCTTCTAAGAAGAAACCTTTGTAGCTCAAGGCTCAGATGCTTCACGCCTTTTTTTGAATGATGTTTTCACTACATGGGTTTTAAAAAGAGAAGGTGAGTATTAACAGAAAACTGCAAACAGTTTCTGCCTCATGGGACACAATCAGCAGTAGAGGAAACACTGTGCTTGGGTCTTCTCAGGCTCTGACCAAGACTGAGGCTCACAGACTGTATCTTAGCCTTGAAAGACCTAGGGTGAGATAGAACCTGGTCCCTGAGAGTCCCAGTGGGAGGAGGGTGGGTAGGAGAAACATCCAGAAGCACCTGCAAGAACTGAGATGCTGAGCAATAGCTGTAGCTAACCCTGTAAGTGCCGACTGTATGCTAGCTCAGGCTTAAGCTTCCTGTCTATGTTAACACATTTACTTACTACAACAACCTAAGGAGGCACAGATGAGAAAAATGTGGCAAGGAAAGCTTCAGATCACACAGCTAGCTGGGATTTTAACGCAGGCAGCCTGGCCCCAGAGTTCACACACAGAGTTCACCGAGTTATCAAGGCTCAGAAGGAACTCTAACCAGGACTCAAGCTTGAAGGTTGAATTGGGGAAGCTCAGGTGAATGGAATTGAAATTAGGAGCTAAGCACTAGAAAGGTTCCAGAATGGAACAGCAGCGCCCCCTGCAGTTAGGTTGATCGGTGTTCAATCAGCATACAGAGTTTTCTGAAGACCCTCTTAAACATGGGCTTTGAGTTCATCTTACTTTGGACTCCAGCCCCTCTAACCCTAAGTCCTAGCCAGGCTAGTTCTAACCCTAGTCCTTCCTTGTTCATGGAACCCAGAATACCTGTGCTGAGCACTCATTATTGTTGTCAGGGCCCAGCTATCTGGGTTTAAAATAGAACCCCAGGTGACCCCTAGGCAAATATCCCTCAGAATTTAAATAGGAAATTCTTGAAAATCAAAGCCTTTAGACTTAAAGGTGCAAAAATTCTAATGATGGAATTTCAGACTGAAGGGTGGGCAACATGGGAGATATTGGGGAACACGGGAAAACCTATGCAGCTCCCTTAGAGTCACATTTTGTGGACAACAGCTGATACTAATTGTTAAGGCCTGCCTGGCACTGAGGGTTGTGCTTCATTTGGTGTTTCCAGTAGGAACAGGCTCACAATCACCTAACGAGGGGCAGCCATCTCATCGATCCTTCTTTCTCCTCTTTGTGTACCTCCTTTCCTGTTTCCCTGTCCCTCTCCTCTGTTCCTTCCCTCCCTAAACACTGTGGCACATCTCTAGGTTTTCTGTTCTCCACCAGGGGTCCTGGGGGTGGGGAAATGCGAGAGTAAGTAACACTGTCCCACCCAGATAACACTGGGCCCTTAGCAGAGGTGACAGATGGTGAAATAGAGGGACATATAATTGCCTGTGTTTTAGCCGGATCTACACAGCTAACTCAAAGCAGAAAAGAAAGGGCTCCTGCATAAAGAACTGTGCTTGATTTGAAAAATAATGTATTCATTTGATTGTGAAATTGTTTCCTCAGACATGTTTATGAGATGATGTATGTACACATACTATATTATTGTAAAATAATTTTATTATTAACTTATCAAGGAGGGACAGGGCAATTTACTCTTACTGTCTCCAATAAGAGTCCTGTCTCCAAGGTGTAGGAATCCTTTGTCTTAGGGGAGAGAATGAAGGGACAGTTTTTCTCAAAATACTAGACCCATGTCTCTTAAATCTGACCTGCAGAAGGATTTTGTTTGGTCCACACTGTTTTATTTTTTACTTTTAGCATTTTACTTATTTATTTATTATTAAATTTTTAAAAAATTATGGTTGATATACAATATTATATTAGTTTCAAGTGTATAACATAGTAATTAAACATTTATATACCTGATGAAGTAATCACCCCAATAAGTCTAGTACCCATCTGGCACCATACATAGTTATCACAATATTATTGACTATATTCCCTATGCTGTACTTTACATCTCCGTGACTGTTTTCATAAATGGCAATTTGTACTTCTCAACCCCTTTCACCTTTTTCACCCATAACACTGTTTGTTTATTTATTTATTTATTTATTTATTTATTTATTTATTTAAATGGAATCAGTGGTCAAGATTAAAAACTTGTATGTGATTTCCAAAACCGAGAGTGGAAATACATTTTATTTTCCTCTAATGTGTTTACTCATCTAAGATTTCATGGGTAAGAAATTAAATGAAAATTGTTTTTGCAGCCACAGTTGTTGGAGTAAGAGGCCGGTGATGATTCTGAACAAAGCAGATGGGTTCACTGTTTCTGTGTTTAGGATTTTCTGTTGAAACCCAAAGGCGAATGAGGGCCGTGGAGAAGAAGAGACTTGCAAGAATGTTATGCATTCGGGGTAATGGGTTTATTATATCCATAAACAAGTAATCACTTATTGGTGTTTCGTCAAAAATAAAGGACAAGGTGACAGAAACAATTTTAGCATGGAAACAAGACGGCTGCCACAGACAATACTGAGCTTACAGACTCTCAAAAGATCACAGAACCTGAACTGAGGGCTTTCAGGTTGTATAGTTAGTTATTCAGACAATAAAGTCAACTACACAATGCAAGCAACACATGGCAGTAAAACACGATTTGCGAGGCGGCCTCTCACTGGGGGACCGAGGAGGGCTTGCTGGGGCTGGGGTCACTCATGGGAAAGGGCGTTAAAACTTCATAAACCCCCCGTATCTTTTCTCCGTTTCAGGAGCTTCTTTGGAGTAACCTTCGCTCTCTTCGTTGGGGGGCAGGGAATCGGCGAAGCGCTTCAGGAAGCCCCCGTACCTTTTCTGGTAGTCCATCCACCACTCGGGGCGGCCCACTCTCCTCATGAAGCCCCCATATCGCTTCTGCAGCTCCTTGGCTTCTTCTTCCAGCTGGGGGCTTCTCTTTAAGCTCCTCATGAAGCCCCCGTACCTCTTGCCCACCTCCTCATCATCGCTGCCCTCTTGGAGGTGGCTGCCCTCTCGGTTGTCCCCTGCTCCTAGAAGCTCTTGCAGGGGCTCTAAGGAATTGCCCAGAGTGCCATCCTCACCGGCACCCTTCTTCATGAAGCCCCCGTATCTCTTGGCAAGGACTTCACCTCCCTCTGCCTCTTCTTCTGGCTCCAGGGGGTAAAGCTCATCGGTTTTCTTCATGAAGCCCCCATACCTTTTCATGAAGCCCCCATACTTCTTGGCCAGCAAGTGCCCCTCTTCCTGCCTGCTGCCCTCTTTGAGGGCACTGGTGCCATCCTGAGGAAGCCCCAGTTTGGACAACTGGAGCAGCTCCTTGCACGTGTCCCAGGTCCTGAGAGAAGGCAGTTTCCCTTCACATTCCAGTGTGCAAGCCTGGGAAAAGAATTCGATTTAAGAATAAAAAGAGGCTTTTCTGATTTTGTTAAGTAAACAGATTTGTGTGGACCACAATACATTTGCTTTGACATGAAAACTCCCATACAATAATCTTCATTTTCTTATTGAAACGTTTCATCACACTGAACAGGCAAAATGAAGGAAAATCGATTTAGAAAGATTGTGGAGAATTAATTAAAACAAATTAGAATTTTTCTTTGAACTTTAACAGATCGTGTATATATTGCCATTTCAATGCTGTAAAAGATTTGTTCCCACCCAATTTTAACCTAGATTGACTGCCCGCACAATCTAATTTCACTGCATAGTTGTTCACTGTTGATTTCATTTCATTTGAGCTTTCCCTAAGCAAAAGGGAGAAATTTCTCTTTACCTAATTAGGGATATCATCCCTAAATTCATTTTATCTACTTGTCTTACGTAAAATCAATATCAATGATATAAAGTTTGCTTACTTTCTTGTGTTAATATTTTACCTGCAATGGTATCCAATATTCCTGCAAACATTTTCAATCTTAAAAAAACCCAATTTCAAAAATAAGTTTGAAAAAAACTTTCTAAAAATTCAACTTAAATCTCATGAATTATTTCAATGATGACATATTGATTTGGTGAAAGTAGAGGTTTTGCTTTTCTTCCCCCTTAATTGATTAAGCGATTTAATCATCTTGAAGCAAATGTTTGTAGTTATGAGATCCACATGCTAATGCTTAGATTATTCATGTTACTTTTCTTAACATTTAGTTGCTGGTGTACAGGAAAATATTTTCCAATGGAAATCATGTTATCTGACAAAATAGAAATGATCCATATACAATTTCTTTCTTTTAATTATATAATTAGGTTCTAATCATTCTAAGATTTAGTGTATATATTCTAATAATTTTGTTGATTCTCTTCTATTAGACAAATAATTTGGCTATGATAAAGAGAGTACTAAGATTACGTGAAGTCTTGACATTCCTGAGCATGCAATCCACGTGATATTTCTGAGTGTTTCAGGGGTTTTTATAGCCCTCTGAGGTCTACTTATAGAACTCAGGTTACCCACCTTTGATTTAGAAAAATCAGGTTGTTTCTTGGAATTTAAAAATATATTGGTATATTAATTGATATAAAACACACACATACTATTTTCACTATTTCATTAGTTCAACAAAATTCTTTAGAGTACATATTTAATCAACTGTTAATGATTATTTAAGTTTTGTATCTAAGAAAATTAAATATATGCACATATAAAAACCTAAAGATGATCTAATTAAAGTGATCCTTTATTTTTGATACCTGATTAAGAAATCAAAATGTTATAAAAAACTTAAGATGTTCAGATGTCAATAATATTTTTATTTAAAAATATAATTTAAATGATTTCTTTACCAAAAATGAATGTTGAATATTTTGTATACTATTACCAAAATGGTTTTTAATGTTAGAATTTTTTCAAAAACAAATAATGATAAATAATCAGAAAAACACATTCAGATTTAAAAAATGATTTAAATTTATATGCTCCTATACATGTCTGTGCATGTTTTGTGTGATATTTATCACATTCTCTGTTCTATGGTTAAGGTCATTAATATTATACCATAAATCCAATTTGGACACCAGCCATAGCATGCCTATGTATCTTTACATCTGCCACAGAACCAAGCACAAGTGTCTTTCACGTGGTAGAAGGTCAATAAATATTTGTTATATTGGTTTTACTACATGGTTTTGGCTAGGCAACCTCATTTCTCATATGTGCTTGTGCATCCAAGCTAAAATTCCGGCACTGCTGTAATTCTGACAACACAGCCATTAACAAAGCCTTTTGTCAAAGAGAAAATAACCCAAAATGTAAGCTCCACCACAAAACAAATCAGTTAAACAAAAAACACATCAGAGGGGGAAAAAAAGATGGATGAAGGGATTGTTACCCCTATTTAAGAGACATTTTTCGTGCTCGTAGTTTAAACGTAAAGCCCCACTAGGTGTCTTCTCTTTAAGGCCATGTTAGCCCATGCACATATCAAATGGAGTGAGTCAGGTAATTCAAAGGAAACCAACGAACCCTTAACCTGAATAATAAGCCTTGGATTTTGTGGAATCCTTTCCTTAATGTTTGTCCCTATTTTATGCATCTAAAGTTCCTTCAGAGGCCCCAGGGAGGAGCTTGGCTCCTCGGATGAGCACACTGTTCTCTACTGAGGGGTGCAAGTGAGTCACAGGGTAGCTGGTTAAAACGAAGCTGCCGGGACCCAAGTCCGGGGAGTCTGATCAGGAGAGCACCGGTGGGATGCAGGAGCACGGGGACTATGATTAGAATAAGAGCTCTTTTGTCCTCAGCTTGCCCCCCGCGTCCCCTGCTCAGCAGGGCCGTTTATCTTTGCGTGGTTGCCGCCTCGTTGGATACTGGCCACCTCTCCTGCGCCTTTTTCATGGGTAAATCAAACTGTTGTCTTAGGTTTTGCAAAAGCACCCTCAAGACGTGACACAAGTTGAAGTCCATGGTCACTTTTTTGGGAGACAGTCGTTGCTCTCTCTCTTTCTCTCCTGTCTACTGCCCCCCCCCCCAAT